ACGTCAAAAACAATTACATTTGATTTATTGGAGATTAAAGGACCTTGGTTGTTTTACCTCCATTAATCATCTTTCATTAATTACTAACCTAAACTGAGGCCCATATTGATCCACTGCACAGTAATAAATGTTTTCAGGACACCGTCGCATGTTCTCAATCTAGTAAAGCCTAGTCTTGTGTCAAAATTATTTCAGGTGGTCCACAGTGTTGGTCTCCACTAAAAAGAGTTCCAAGACCCAAAAATTCTGAGAAGCTTGGGTCTAGATGAAAAAAATGCTTAAAATACTTATTAAAAGCCGATGTATCCGCAGCAGGTAGAGTAACCAGGATGTTCCAGTGAAACTATGACCGAGATAAAGACTTTGTCAGGTTTATCTTAGGGAGCCGTTCGTAGTTCTAACCTTCAAGAGCGCCATACGTTGCGTTAGGTGCCGTTGGGGCTTATGGAATTCGCCTAATTACTAACAAATACTTTGTATATCATCTAGCTAGATTAACGCTGGTTCTGTCAAATCTCTTAAAGCTAGATAACGTGCAGTGCTAACTAGCTGCAGTGATAACCAGACTTCATCACGGTGACCACATTTGCGTCCAAGGTACGATACACAAGCTTACATAGAAGTTGGAAACACTCATTTAATCATTTGCACGCCGTTCTTTCTAGATTTAAAGATCTGTCAGTTGATTCGCTTTATGAGTACCGTTAATTTCCGGTTCTTGATCAGTAGAGCTATTTTTCTTTTTGGTAGCCGAGTAGCCACACAAAACTTCATCTATTCACTGTCTACATCTGTGTATCTGATCTGAATCCCACTGCGCTCGTCGGTTGCCAATATCCCTAAAGCTGAGCAGTAGACATCCCACCAAAATTGCAAGAGAATTTCGACAAAACACTAACGCCAGTCTTCCTGCATATTCCGTTCAGTCTAGGTGATTCGGTAGCTGTAACAGTTTAGGCAAACAGACACCGTTCGGAACGCAAGCGAGTTTCAGGCATTTCGGAGGTCATGAGGTCCACAATTGATCGTATTTTAATCTTACTTGTTATTTTTACATGCTATCCATCAACAAATCAAGAGAAAACGTGCAAGAACTAACCACCAAGTTGTATTTGAACTCGTGCACCACCCGAACGAGATATCCTTACCTAGGTAACATGGAAATGTGACTTACGAAGGTAGATTACTGCACATTCTGCGAAGTTCGCTTGCCTGACCCCTGAGTGAAGCGTTTTCTGTCCGGCCCCTGCAACTGATCGCATTACGTTAGGCTTTCTCAATGAAGATGATATCCTCCGTAATTCGTCTTCCACAGCTCTCCAATGGTTAGCACATAATAAGGAAGTTGCATTGTCTAATACTTCCCATGACGTTAACTTTGGGTGCCGTTTATCTACGCGGATTGCAAAGCAACAGCGGAGAAACGATAAATCCTTCTTTTCCTATTTAATTTACTGTTTAATTATCATCATTATCATTATTATTTTGATATCTCCACCAACTATCCAACGGGAATGGTGAAGCAGCGCTTCTTAACCTGTACAAATTCATTGTTCATCGTCCATAAGTGCACACTGCGCATCAATCATGAAATGCCAGTTCTCAGTCATATCTGGAGATGACAATATCCTGATCGACCGGAGGATACACAAAGCTAAAATTAAGAGGCAAATCTTCCTAAATCAACGGCGTCTACAGACAGCTACTGGAGCCATACTAGAATGAATTCGCTATCAGATGCTGGAAAAGTGGTTAACGTATGTATACCATTTCCCAGATAATTGCAACAACAACATATTAAAATTCTTCCTTGGGGAAATTATGTTCCTCCATAGATATCTCATGATGGTCCTTAACGTAAACAAACTGCATCCAGCGGGCTAAAACGCTCCTAAAAAAGGCACAGTGATGGTTGAGTAACGGAGCTCAAATCAGCCGATATTATAATGTGTGCATAGGGTAGGATGCTATTGGCTGATTGGTCACTCAGTGAACAGTAGCATTTATGCGCGGTCGCACCCGTGGAATGCAACCTCATAGTGTTAAGGTGCATCCTGATAGATCGGTGGAGGAAGATGATTTCTTTAAGGAAGAACTCGAATGCGTTGTAGATGCGTGAAAACTTATAGAACAAATCAAAGTTGCACGTAGAATATGGTCCATAATCACATGCAGACTAAGGTGTCACTGGCGTGAAAATCTACAGGTTAAAACTAGTTGTAACAGTTCCTTAATAAAACTGTATGCATACTGCTACTGTGCATTTTTACTGACGTTGTTCCCACCCTATCCATTCTCATGGCAGGGATGTGTGGATGAATTCCTTTTCTACCAGACATTCGTTGGAAGATTTTAGTCTGGAATCCGTATATAATTTAATATGAAAGGCTCGGGGTAGTCATTACTAACAACCGTTCTTTATAAGAACGAGCACATTTGCTCCACTTTGATGACGCTTGTAAAGATGAGATGAATAGAACTATTCTTTTGATCTCAATAGTTAGTGAAAACAGGTACTCGAACCCGGGGTCAGTGGGATGTCAACCGGAACTCTAACCCTAATTCACCAAATCGATTAGTGGAGTATCAATTAACGGTTGCAGCTGAAAAGCTATTTTTAATAATTTAGCACGGGAATCTGCGAAGCAAGATTACGACTTGCCCTTGTAGCAACATGAACATAAAGCACATGTTCACACAACGCCGTAGAAAAGTATCCAACTACATAGGCGATGTTTCGATTGAAGTGCAGCTTTATCCGTGTAGTAGACAGGCATGTCTGTGCAATTAATGGGCTCTAATATCTGGGAGCTACAATGGGTGAAATTGCGCTATCAAGCACGACAAGCATCGAGAGATGGATCCAGGTTCGCAAACGAAGATCAATGCAACCAGCACTATGGCCCTGGGGGTTAGCATAATACTGGATGAATCGCCTAACTATGTTCTGTCCTACAACTTGCCACATATAGCGACTTGTAACCACCGTTGCCATAAAATTCCACAAAAGTTATTTGTTGTTTCACTGCGCAATCACTCTTTTGTGTCAAAGGAAACTATTGTCCAGAAAACATTCCTACTGATCTTTTCCATGCTTTGCTACAACCACTAATCCCTTGGTGATATCGATTAAGATGCACCATAAAGTCGCGCTACGCTATGCGTAGCCAAAAGTATCATTGGTTGCTCTATAGTGGATAATTTCCGGTTGACAGTAACTGCACCACATTAGTTCCATTTTCTCCACTACAAGTGGTCCATCACTTTGTAGGCATCGCGATCAATAATCACCTGCTGCTACTTCGAATTAGCCAACATTATGATATCATTTATTTTTGTATCGTTTCGTTTGTTACATGGTTTTGTTATTCTTCAGTATGTAATGCAACATTTTCGGTACTCCATAAACTTTAAACCGAATTGATTTCGGCATGTGCTACCTATACGTATCCCATTAACCTCACCGTCTTCTAAGTGTAACTGATGTTGGCTTGTGCTGGATAAGGTTAGTAATGAAATGTGTCACACGGAACCAGCTGTTTATTTCCTGAAAGTACCCCACGGTTTAATGCACCTTTTGCCATAATGACTTCTATTATTTGTTCCATAAATTGTCTTACAGTGTCTTTAGGAAACTGTGACATCGTTTTTTCCGCATTCATGTGTGCAGTATAAGTATTCATGGGCCCATTTCTATAACAGCAAACCGGCTCGAAATCTTGGTAGATATTTGGAAGTGTTTGAGAAGTCACAAGTTCAGGGAGATTGGAGGATAATTGGTTGGCGTATTGGTTGAGCAGGATTTCTTGTTGACACAAATCATCTTCGGGCTAAGGGAATCAGTTTGCAAATGCAGCGGCATTTTATAACAAACAGGGATGATACTCGCAGCTTTAGGCGATGTTGTTTGGTGTGTCAAAAGCCGTTCTCTGTATACTAATGCCTTCGTTTAGTGACTAGACCAATCGATGGTTTTTCTTTGTTAATAAGCATCGGTTTAGCTCTAAAGACAATTTCAGAATCTTCCGACCTTAGCGGTTTGCGTTAAATGAACATTCGCCATTAGTAACGTATTCACGAAGCGTTACAAAGCCAACCAGATCCGTACTGTGTTTCCATATCTACTAGTGCTCGTCGCTTGTTGCGTATTGAACTAAGCAGACTATCACCAAACATTAAAATCATCATGCTTTGCCCCAACATGCGCCTTCATCGCTGACCAGTGTTACGCTGCGTCGAACAGCCCACAACGTCTACGGTTGTGCAATTGCTCTACAACAAAATTAGTCGCCTCCGGACCCATGAGTGAATAAATCCTCGACACTGTAACGCTCACACAGCGTAGCTGGTCGTTGGGGCGTTCCAAATCCCCCTAATGGGCTTCGATAATCGCATTACTTCAGTATTGCCTGCGGCGGGCAACGCCTTTTTGCACCTTCTTGTTACTAGCTGTGGTGGTTTGGTGGACCAGTTAGGATAATTCCCTTGAGTTTCGTTTGTGTGCCGGATGCGTCACCGAATTTGTTGGCCCGATGCCTGATGACCCCGATATTCTAAATAGTGTTTTCGATTTCAATTAAATTCAAACTACTCATTCATCCAGTTTAAGTTTATGCAAATGATTTAAAATTAAAGCACTCAATATATGCTAGTGGAGAGGGTCACGCGAGAGACAAGCAGAAAAGTCGTGATGCACTCCGCCTGCCACCCAAGTGGAAAAAGTATGTGCTTTTTTAATTATCCTCTTTCAGCAATAGTCTGGAATAACGTGGAAAGGTTAAACATACTCCACAAACCACATCAGAAACTGATTTTGTCTATTTCTACGAAAAATAATTTTTATGCCTTTTTGTGCTTTGTTTGGTTGGCAAAATCGCAGGAGTTATTTAATGCGGAAAATGAAGTTGACGCATACCCCGTACTCATCGCTAACCTAGTAGTATGTACCTCTGTCTATTCAGGGGTTTTTGGTCAAGCAGCAAAAGACGAAACGCTACTTTATGCTTTCCATACCGCTCTCTTTTGATTGCTGCAGCGCTGCTGTTCCGCCTTGGCATACTGAGCGCTGGTTGCAGGCTCTCGAGAAGGGATGTCACACGGAATACAGTTTCTTACTGGAAAGCGTGGACCCCCTTCCAGTTAAATGTTCCATCGGAGATGTGGGATCAGTCCGAACCTCGAGTGCGGATCACGAACACTGGCAAAGGTAAATATCTTGGTTCCTGCAAATAAGTTTGACTACGTAAATTGGATGGATAAATGTTATGCAGGCACCAACCAAAGGATATGCTCCAAGGTGGGTTATATTCATTAATCTGGGGGTATTGTTATCTCAGATAGTGAACAAGAGAGCTCACGCCTCAACCATGTATGAAGCCATTGGATAGCCAAAACTTGTGCCTTCACGCAGAACTCAAATTATCAATTACCATATTTACAGTAGTCTATAGTTTCAGCTTCAAGTGGACATGATTTCAAACGTTGTTTACAAGTCTATTTATACCATACAGTTAGCAATGAAATATTGAAAGCTCAGTATTATCAGTGACTTTAGCAGCAACCCTCCCGCTTTGAGAACAGGTTCTCAAGACATCAAATACCCGGCAACACACGACGTTTCCCAAATGTGCATAAAGTACAGTAGATAATTTCAACAGTTGCTGATTAAACAATTATAACTATTATTCTTAAATTGCAAACAAAATTGATGTGTCAAGCAATTATACACCAAAAACTTGTGTTGTCCAGTCTAATCTTGAATGCACTTACTGGTAACGATATCACAGTTGGAATTCCGGATGAATATTGCATTTTTATATCAGCATAACCTTGATGCTTGACTTCATGTTAAGTTGAGAGATTAAATCCATGCATTTGATGTTAGCTTCAGGCCAGCCTAGCTACTAACTAGTCTTGGAGAGCACAAAGCTATTATCGGGAGTGGCGATGCAGGAACAGCTGCCTGCTAACAAGCGTTTACCGAGTTGATTCATTGATGTTCATTACTAGTCCGCATCTAGCGGAAAATTGAATTCTTCACTGAAACCGCTTATCCTAGCACTCTCTTTAAGCAATAGTTAGCCGAAAGCAATGTCGTCTACATACAATAACAAGCTTTAGATTATACTTTTTCCGCAGCGGTCACCGAAAGCTACCGATAACGGGTCCATCTCACAAAGTATACTCGGTTGAAAATGTCGCTTTGCAGTGGTTTCATACAACAATCGCTTTGGCCTTTCTACCTGGTTCTCTCTGTTTCTTTTCAGAACATACGATATGAAATATAGTTCTCCCCTGATACCCTGGAAGACTGCTTTATTAAAGACTCCGAACAGTTGTTCAAAAGTGAGTGTTTTTTTGCTATGTTATATCATCTTCGTGAGCAACCACCATCCAAATCTTCCCCGGTTAGTTGCTCCAACAGAAACCACTTGATTATTTGTCATATTTGGTTAAGCCTTCCCATCAATACCCCTAAGACTCCACCGACCTCTATTCACATATCCTAGAATTGAATGGGTTCAGTCGTCTCGAGATTTATGAAGAAAAGTAATTACCAGTAGCATGCACCGTAGCTAGCTGAGCAGCCACACACCTGAAGCTCCGAAATGCACGCCCCTTGTGTCCGAATTTCGAAAATTCGGCATGGTGATTTCCGATGTAACTCCCTTCAAATCAGGTACAGGCGTGCCATTGTCCTACAATGAACCACTTGATGCGAGTTTGATGGTTTTTGCACATTCATGTGTCTACCTTCGCTTGCTCGACCGCGAACGTCCGTAAGCATCAGCACCGACGTCATTCGAACATGCCGTTCTAAAAATTGCAGAACAGTGTGTACGCGCTGGCCCCAGTGCTCCGATCGTGTAGTCTTTGTGTGGTTTCTGTGCATTTGATGCAATCTGAACTTGCTTGTACGTGCCTGATACGAGGATAGAGCTTAATTAAGAAATAACGTTCACCATCATAGTCCGAATTGATTTTAGCCTTGGGGAACTGAGAAACCATACTCTCTCTGTATGCTGTCACTGCTAAAATGCTCATCATTTCCTGTACTCGGTCGATAGCATTTCTTGTCATCTTTCCGGAAACAGTCATTCGAACAGCCATGCTACTTCAGTCCCCCTGGCTGTCATTTGGCTGCACCGTTGATGTAGCCCAGGTGTCGAATCAGCTAACCACTTAGGTACCAAGTTGTCAAATTGCTAGTGTACATTTCCGTCCATCCTCCACTTGGATATCATGTTATTGTCTCCTACAGTACTTCACCGCGTGTCCACTTGTTCGCTAAGTCACCTGCATGGTATGTCAGCGTCGGCGTCGTCGTCGTCGTCGGGTTCCACAACAATGTGTGCCGCACTTGTTCACGCTTCGGCGACAGCCTGACACGACGGGTTCAGTCTTCAGTATGAGCCCACCTTCCAACTAGACGTCCGTCACTGATACATACCCCTACATAGCCCGATTTCAGCAGTACTACCATTGCATTGACTGCCACATCTGTGTTGAAGAAGCTGCTCCGAATGCGCACCTACAGTTCTCACGCAATCGATCACATTCATGTAAGGGCGCTAAACGTAGTAGCAATAACACTAGCAGAGCTATTAGCTCATTTCTTCCAAACGTGGATAAGCAAATTGTGACTATCACAGGGATTGCTCATGTCAATTTTCAACGTTGGCAGCCACTTGGAACCAGCAACATAGCGCCCAGTGGCCTTACTCCCTGTACTCTCAAGGGCGTTAGAGGCAATCATTGCTGTAGCTTTATTGGACCATCTAAAATTCTACGACTTCATAGCACTGAAGCAGCATGGGTTCCGTCAACACCGTTCATGCACTAATATCCTACATAGTACACACAATAATTGGATGGAAACGGCTGACAAAGGGAGGGGACCGACGTTAGTTACCTCGACTTCTCCAAAACTTTTGACCGCCTGAATAACTGGATTTTTCTTCACGGACTCGAACGCTACGCAGTTGTGAATCTTGTCGTTGAGTGGATAAGGAATTCTCCTCAGTATAAGCAACTATAGATTATATTACATAGGGCACTACCTAATCCAATTTCTGTCGAATATGGGGTTCCACAATGATCAGCTCGGGGTCCACGTCTGTTTCTTGTGTTCAGTAATGAGCTTACGCTCTGATTTCTTCGGAATCCTTATTTTTCCAGATGATATTAAGATGTGGCGAGCGAGCGCCAACTAAGGGGATCAAGATACATTTGACCGAGACCTGGACCGGGCGCATGACTTGTTATTCCACCATCTACTTCAGTATAATTCTTCTAAATGTAAGGTGGTCTGCATTCGTCACCAACCGAACCTCAATTACAAGCTTGGAAACGGTGTCGTACAAGCATTCACCAAAGAGTGCCATCCTGGGATATTACTACAGGCTGATCTGCGTCGTTCAGACCAACCAAGGAAAGCAACAAATTCTGAGAACCAACAAGTCGGTATGCTGCGGAAGGCATTCGGGCGGTTTGATCCCTCTGTTTGTTTGCCGTTGCTTAACACATACCTGCGGCCACATGTGGAATGCGCAATCCAGGCCTAACAACCCTGGCACAAGCACAAGCTCGCAGCAGTCGGGATTCCACAGCGAAGCATCAGAAAGCAGACCAAAGGGTTTATCTATCTTCCATATCAACTTAGGCTGAGAGCTCCAAGATTGTACAGCTGCCGGTATCGGCGCCTACGTAGTGACCTACTAATGGCTTATAAGATTTTGTGGAACTCCAACATAACATCTTTTGCCATCTACTGTATTTTATTCACAACATAATTTGAGGGGCTACCAGCTCAAGCCGGCCACGCAGTACAGTCGACTTGAATGCAATCGAATCTTTTACCCTTTTCTCGCCTGCCAAACATAGAACGCCATCCCATATTATGTTGTTTCCGCCCCCAAGTTATATGTGTTTAAAAATCGCCTTGACGTTGCTCTAACCCACCTACATTTTGAGATATTGCCTGTGTACCTCGACAGAAGATCTAATGCGACGAAGATTGCACAACCTGCCCTAACCTACACAATCGAGGTTGCCTCTTTCTTACATAACTGCGTGTGAAACTATGGTGAGTCCGCCGAAATGCTTTCCATTTTATCACCACGTCATTTTTGCACCATTTTTGGTTCTCATTCTGACAATCGTACGGGAGTTGTTACGCAATTGCTTTTTATACACGTAATGCGCCATCGTTCCATTTATAGTTATACCTAACGGGACCGACTGTGCTCATTCTCCAATTAGATCGTCTCCGGTATCAGAGGAGGACCAGAGTGACTACCTACATCTTTATTCGTTAGACCGTTGACGGCGAAGAAGCGTATCAACAAATAAACACCTCAGAACTGCCTCACACGTGTCGTTCCGTTCTGTGAACTGACCGGCAGCTTGGACAATATAAGCAAGGAAGCAATCTTTTGGGGAGGACGATGTACCGTATGATTAGTTTGGTTGCATGACACCATGTAATTATCTATTCCACCGTGAGTTTTTGTGTTATGTCCCCTACCACACTGCATTAATAACACCGTTCGTTTGTTCATATTTCTTGTTATTGAATAGAATCAAGTGGTACTAGCCAGCTTGTTGTCAGAAATGCTTCCGTGTAAACCGGTGTTTCTCAACCTGGTGGTAATTAAACCCCACGGGGTAAAATGGAATCCAAGTAAGAGAACTGTCATCAATCTGTCGCCGAACGAAATTAATGACAAAATCGCCTGTATCAGAACATGTAACTAATTACCTGATCATTATTGAGTAGCCATCAGTAACTAATCCTTAATGAGTATTCTGTGAGTTAGATAATTTCCGGTAATAAATTCTATTATCCAATATACGAATACAAGCCTGCGTAACATCGTACTTAGATGGCGCTTCTATCGCATCACTCGTCGATTGTTGTTTTTCTGAGTCAGGCAGTCGCTCACAGTGTCGAGGTACAGAGTTGAGTGAACACTATGATGGGAGCAAAGGTCAGCCAAACAGGCAAAGGAGCGAGCGAATGTCTGCAAAGTAGAATGGACAAAACTGGCGATTAGTGTTCTGGATGTATCGATACAGTGCTAGTGGGAAGTTGTCGTCCAGGACGGATTTGCACGGGATGTTCGAAACAAAGTAGAAGCCACTGACTGTTGTGCATGTTTGATCACGGATCACACCCCAAAGCACAAAACCAAACGAACTTGGAGCATGACTTACCATGTGCAATAATCAAAACCGCTCCAAATATCTCATAAACTGTTGGAATTAAAAAACAACGTCAACGGGCTCATTAACTTATATCACCACATGATGTAATAAAAATTTGCCCAAAGATGAGCGTTTTCTTTATTTGAATGATGGAATGTAATTACAAATAGTACTTATTCGTAAACAAAGGCAAAACGTACAGCGGTTAATTAGTTTTTAAACTATAAATTTTGGGGTACTTATTTATAGTGAACTCACTTTGTGGGTAACAGCCTAAACTGTTAAGAACCACCGGTGTAAACAAAGATATTCCCCAATATAAAAAGTGCTTTCCACCAGTGTTTCCGCCGCAGAGCGTCAGTTGTCACACACAACACATGACGATGATGAACATGAAGTAGAAGATGATGATGAAGCAATAAGTATGAAACACATGCATTAACCCGAAACTGGTCTCACTGCTCGTCAGTCGCATCCGCTGAATTCATCATCATCATCAACAGCAGTATATCAGCCATTTGAACTGATGCTTCGCTGCCATACAACCATGAGGACCTATGAAATAAAGAATAAGAAAAGGGAGAGAAAGGAGGACTTCCCTGAAAACCTTAATGCCCTAAGCAAACATTCTGGGTCAAGGCGCCTACACCTTGTGTAGACAACATACCGTCACAAACAACTGGCTATCGTGCCAAGATAAGGCGGCATCGGCGAGACAGCTTCCTTGCGGCTTTCACTGCCACGCGTCATAATCAGCCATTTCCCCGCAGATAACTCAGCACCAAAGATACTTTAAACAGGCAATCCGATTAGGAGACGGCAGCAGATGTGCCACTGGTGTCGGTTGCGAGCCATGGCCTACAAAGTCTCGAGCCAAGCACAAGGTGAGTCACGTGGGCTCCAACCCGGAAGGCGAGACGGACCAACAGCACCCAATTTGGTTGTCAGTGACTTCATTTCCCACTGCCAAGTCAACTTCTGTCCACCTCGAGCCTTGCGCCATCCTACACCTGGTAGACTGAACAAGGCCCTCCTAGGTAAGCGGTGACCAGGCATGCGTAACACGTGCCCGAGCCAACGCAACTTATTCAGTGCTATCTGTTGTTCTAGGGTGCTAGCATGATTATCACTACCTGGTACTCGCCTACGCACATCATCGTTGGGGATACGCTGGTGCCATCCGACACCAGCAATGCTTCGCAAACAACGATGATCAAAGACTTGAAGGCGCCTCAGATCTTCAGACCGAAGGGGCCAAGTTTCACTACCATAGAGCAGAACGGCCCTAAATGTGGCCTTGTATACACGGCCTTTCAGACTGAGGGAAACTCCCTTCTGTCGCCAAAGATGACGCAGGTTCAAGAAGGCAGCTCTGGCCTTTGCAATGCGTGAGCTCACGTCAGTTTCTATGCGCCCATCATTGTTGATGCAGCTTCCAAGATAAGTGAAATGATCAACCACCTCGAGTTCCTCGTTGGCAAGCGTCAAGGGGCCATCAAGTGGCTGGTGTTCCTGCAGCAACACTTTGCACTTTGAAGGTGCGAAGTGCATACCAAATAATGGGACCACTCTGGACAGGCTATTCAGGGTTGATTGTGCCGCCTCAACATTGTCGAAAAGCAAGACGATATCGTCCGCATAATCTAGGTCAACTAACCTTTCACCAGGCAGCAATACAACGCCTACATTTTTGGATTGCGTCAGGGAACACTCCATGATAGAATACACGACGAAATTGAACAAAAATGGGGAAATCGGACAACCCTGACTAACGTCACTTGTAGTCGAAAAGCTATCGGATAGAACACCATAGACCCTGACGCGGCCTGTAGTGTTCGAGTATAGAGCATGAAGGATGTTCACATATTTCGTGGGAACACCAGTTCGCCCAAGTAATTCGAACAGAATCGTTTGATCGACCGAATCGAATGGAACGCACTCTTGCAATTGAGGAACACAGCTATTGTCGGTCTGCGGTATGCGTGGCGCTGCTCTAGCACCTGTCGCAAAGTGAATATATGGTCTATACAGCCAAGTCCTGGGCGCAAACCGGCCTGCTCTTCCCTAATCCGAGATCCGCTTTCTGCAGTGAGGCGACGAATGATAATCGAGGCCAATAATTTTGTCACAACTGGCGTTAGGCTAATACCCCTATGGTTAGCACATTCTGTGCGACTGCCCTTCTTGTATATTGCCACTATAATCGATTCGCTCCAATTAGCCAGCACGCTCTCTTCGTTCCAGTTACGTTCGAATAGGGAGGTCAGTGCTTTGCAGAGGACCTCACCTCCATGCTTAAATAGTGCAGGTGGGAGGGAATCTGGGCCAGCGGCACGAAAACGATTAAGGGCTGTGATCGCATTTTGGACCTCAGCCTCCGACGGAGGCTCTAAACTAACCGTTCATGGCACGTCCTGCGTCACCTGAGTAGGAAGAGGTCCGGAAGCAGTGGGCCAGCTGAACTGATCTTCAAAGTGTTCAGCCCAACGAGCCATACGGCGCTCCTTATTGTGTATCAGCGCACCCGCGCTGTGTCTGATTGTCTCACTGAATTGGGCGTTTGGGGTCACCTTAACAGAAACCGAACTCATTGGTGTGTGTTTGTTGGCTGGAAGTACAGTACAGACAATACTATCGGATTGGAAACCGGTGTGTCACATGATAAAACCAACTTTGCAGCCTTGGATTAACCTGGTGAACGAGACCATCGCCAGGGCTATATCTTCTCACCTTCTTAATAACATATTCCAGCGCATTTTGTTTGCTGGGGTTATTCCATTTGAGTGCTATGGCTTCGAAGGGTACAGACACACGTAGGGGGTTTTAAGCTCGAGTGCAATACACTCATAATTGAATGTTTCTATCTAAAGCAATTGTAACCTATTTCAAAACAGGCTTATCCCAGTGTCATTGGGTATCGGCTGAATTCGCTGTAGACTTGACTGCTGACCACATCACCAACTGCCGTCTGCCTTCGGTATCAAAATCGAGATCGACCAATTATGAACACTAAATTCTGTCATAACCGTAAGTAGAGGATATCAATTTTGACAGTTCTGTAAAACGAGATTACGGAACAGTGACTGGCCAAAATTATGAGTACCGGATAACCCCGGTAGTGAAAACTATTGTGGCCTTTTCTGTCGTCAACACGGCATAAGGAACAACCTGGGACAAAAGGTCCTGCAGGTGAATTTGCCACCTGTTTGATGCCGTCGCTCAAATTAGTAATATGCTCCAAAACAATTAAAGGGAGTTGCTAGTTCTATTATCGTGCTCCCGGGTTGACCTGCCTGTGTCATTGATCTCACGCAATGTCATCTCTCCTATGACACATTTGCTTGGATACTTGATGAAATTTGGATCATGGTCGGTCATGTGTCATTTTAACTTCACTTACACTACAGACCGAAGATTGTTCGAAAAAGATTCAATTATGATGATTCCCACCATCAGTTTCTGTTATGGTTGAACTCCCATAAAACGTTACAATGAAGATTGAGTCTCCGATTGCACCTGGCGCCTCCTAGAACACACAGTAACCGGTTAAACAACACATAAGTATATTAGGTGAGCGTTCATCGCAGCAATGTTGAAATCGGGTAGTCCTCCACATTCCCAGGAAAGCAGTAGACGCCGTTACGACTTGTTTTTTCTCATCAGCCGTACCCATCCATTGGCTCCATCAGGATCCGAAACCATGAACACGGATGGTTTGAACAGAAGTTTATGCCACCGAACCATGGCGGACATTGTTGGACCGTCCTGATTGGGAAGCTGCTGTGATGGATTCGCAATTAATTACCTTAACCATTCGCTTCACTTGGTTAAATAAGTGTAGGCCTTGCAGTGACTTGTCAGTTGTTGGTATTCATAACATACCTGCCAGGCACCCAAATTTGTGCGTAGCAGTGCATCCTCTAGTGAGTGTTCGGTAATAGCGTGCCCATGCAACTAAGCAAGACGGTGCCAAATGTAATCAATTAGCACTCACAGCTACAGATGAACACCTTTTTGACATACATTACTCGTTCACTCATCAAGCTGGACAAGTATACACTTAATTTCGGCGCTGTCTTGACGGTCGATGCATCGCAATGAGGCTGGATTTCATCGCAATGAAGCTGGACCTTACCGTGGTGCGATGGTTTGTGTGCCACAGTGATCCAATGAGCTGTGCGGAGTG